ATAGAGAAATGCAAATTGAAGAAAATTAGATTTCATCTTGCTCCAGAAAGAATGGCTATTATCAAGAAAACAACTAATAACAAGTGCTGAAGGGGCTGTAGCGAAAAAGGAACACATCACTGTTGGTGAAAGTGTAGGCTGGTACAACCACTATGGAAATCGGTGTGGAGATTCCACAAAACACTAGGATTAGTTATCTGGTAATCCAACCAACTAATTTGAAGACAATAGTTGTGCAATATAATAGCCATTGTTGAATTTCTATTATTTTGTTGAGGGAAATTCTGTATTATTTCTAGGTTTATTTACTATTTTTATTCCCTTTAAAAAAAAAACTAAGGTTAGTGGTCAGGCTTGACCCAACTAGGCCTCTTCTTGATTTCTTCCTGGAAGGATTAAAATCATTATACCACAGGGATATATTCACAGCCATGTTCATAGTGGAACAGTTGTAATAGCTAAATCTTGGAAGAAACTCAAAAGCCCTTCAAATTATGGATGAATGAAAATGTTATTTTTTATATAATGGAATATTACTCAGCCATTATGAAAGATAAAATTGAGACATTCTTAACTAAATGGATAGACCTTGAGATCATAGTCATAAGTGAAATACATTGGACATATGTAAATATCACATTATCACACTTGTGAACATCTGAAAATGTAAATAAGTTCCCTATTATGCCATAGATATTGTAAAGTAGGAAGAAACTTCTCAAAAGGAAAAGAAAACTAGGCAGGGGTAGGAAAGGAAGGAAGAAAAAGAAAAATGAGAAAAAATAGGATAAAATGAGAACAGTGTTTTGTGAATGGGGAGTGAAAGAGGTTTGAAAGGAGAAGCTGGCCATGGCAAAAAAAACGATGAATCAAGATGTATCCTGTACAGGGCCAAATTTTCTATAATGAATGTGGTCATTATGCATATCCAAATTGTACAAATATACTTAAAATAAAAATACTAAAAATGTACAAGTGACATTACCCTGTAAAGATTTATAGTGTAATACATTTTAAAATAAGATTAAAGGTCTAAACAGACACATTAAAAATGTTATGTATATGTTCCAAACACAATAAGAATGTAAACATTATATAAGACACAAACATACTAACAAAGATTCCTATAAAACTGCAAAAAAAAAAAACACAAATAAGATCATGCCATTTAGTCTGATTTTTTTCCGTGCATTTCTTGTCTCATGGCAAAATCTAAAATATTCCAAATGACTTGTAGGACCCCCTACAATATATTCTGTCTCTCCCATTTCCTGTGTTCCAGGAACACCGCAACCAAAGAAGTTTGGAAATATATAAATGGTTATTATCCTACAAAGGAAGCACAACAATGAGGTATTTAACAGTATTATTTTGGGAGAAACAGATATTTGTTTGATTCTTGTTTAAGCACCTTTATAGTAATAATGACCTCATTATTCTAGACCACTCGAGGTGAACCTATGATTCATGTGTTGCTTGTTTTTCTTTAAGACAAAAGATGCTAATGCAAGTCTCTCAGCTCAGCTCTGGGGAGGCTGAGACAGGAGGGTTACTACAAGTCCAAGATGTGTATTGAGACCTTGTATCAAATAAATGAATACATAAAAATTTTAAACCTCAGTATTCAGGTTTAATTGTACTGTTGGTGTTTTGCAATAAGTAAGTATGTTTTGGGTTACAGTTTGGTCACTGTTCTCTAAAAGGTTCACCGTCTCTGTTCTAGGCTGTAGCCTCATTTCTAAAATGCAAATTCATTTAATTCATTCACTCAACAAGTATGCATTGTCCCTATTTTATGCTAGGTACTGTTTTAGGCCCCAGAGATACAGCAGTGAACATGATATATAAAAATCCCTCCGGGGGGCCAGGGAGATAGCTCAGTAGAATAAGAGCCGCCTGGCTCAGGGTCATGAGTTCAATCCCCAGTACTGAAAAAAAAATCCAGGATTGGCAAGATAGCTCAGCAGTCTAAAGCTCCTGCTTAGGCAAGCTTCGACAAGCATGCAGAGACCATGGTTTGTTCCCTGTCACCACATGCTGCTCCAGCCATGCCCCCAGGGTGGGCTGAACTGGCCACAAAAAAAAATCTTTCCTTTCATGTGGCCTGCATTTCAGAGTGTGAGAAGACAACAAACAAGTAAGCCAGTAAATATGCAATATGTCAAGTAGAGGATATTCATTACTTTCCTCATTGCTAAGACAAAATACTTGACACCCAAGTTCAGAGAGGATATATTTATTTGGGCTCACAATTTCTAGAGGTTTTAGTCCACAATTGTGTGGCCTCAAGGCAATGTGGCTTGGCAGAAGAGCGTCACAGAGGAAAAGTAGTTCATGGCAGGCAGATGGCAGCAAAAGCAGCAAGCTACAAGTGACCCTCTCTCTCCTGTATATCTTATCCAGGCTACCCACCAGTAGGGCACATAGCATTCACCCCAAGGATGCCATTCCATTATGAATCAATACCATCACCACATCCTTAATCCCAACATCACATACTTCAGATCCAGCCACGTTCATAAAGCCACACATATGACCCCATAAGGCTCTGGGGAAATATCTAAATATAAGCTATAACAGGTTCTACAGAGACAAAGAAAAGCAGCTTAAGGGAGTAAAAAGCAACAGAGAAGATATTGTGAGAATCAAATTGTATTGTACATGCAAAGTGTTTAGTACAGTGCTTGAAAAATTAAAAGATTAAAACATAACTGTATCTGTCTTTCTGTATCTGTTCATCTATGTATGTATCTATTTATCTATCTATCATCTCTATCCTCCCTCCCAGAGTTGACAAGAGTTTAGTTTAAATTTTAAAAATCTTATAAGATAGAAGCGTGAAGTCTAATCATGTCCATGTTATCATGTTATAATTAGAGAAGCTGCAGCTCAGAAACATACAATTATCCAAGGACTCAGAATGAAGCAGATGCAGAGGCATGCCAACTCCAAGTTCACTGACTTCCCATGCAATTTTCTTATGATCATCAGGGCTGCTGATCTCTGCAGTCACAAAGCCAGGTGTCTTCTCCACATTCTTTCTTTCTTTTTTTCAATTCAGCTGTATTTATTACCTCTTAAAGCAGAATATAATCTGGGCACTCATTTCCATTCACAGGCCTTGTTCAGAATGATTTTTTAACAGCTCTGCAGTATCCCTAAGAGGTTCAGTTTAAACAGCTCTTCAGTATCCCTAGGAAATTCAGTTTCTCCCTCTAAACAGTACTTTTCTTTGGAAAGCAAGCCCTGGGCAGCTTCTGCCATCAAGTTTTCATTATAATGTACTTACTTCTATAAGCCTAGGACATGCAGAATTGAAACTACTGAAGAAAGTTTTTAAAAAAGATTCTATAAGAAAGCTCATGCTATCTTAACAAATATTCCTTTAAACATCAGGATATCTCAACACTTCAGAGATACATGATTTGGTCTACTAAGGAATCTGGCTCAGTAACTAAGCACTTTAGACCTCACAAAGTTAACAGTACATTACATTTTACCACAAACATGTCAATCCGGGTTATTTCTTTATCTTCAGATACAAGATCAAACAACATCTCAAAAATAAAAAATTGTACAACCATGCAGAAGCTCATACAAATCCAGTGGGTTTCCATCTTCTTATCAGGCAAAGTGATGGAGAAAAGAGACTCCTGTTGGGGGGGTGTTGATGGTAGTGGTAGTAGTGGTGATAGAGGGTCATTTGCAAAATACAAAGGAAGGTTTTCTGCAGTTCAGAATTTTCTAAGTAAGAACTATGTGACAAAGAATGCCTACAAATTCTAATGAGACAGATTGAATCAAGTAACTATAAGGTAAGATAAAACCAGCCAAGAGGTATTGGATTCAGGAAACAAAGGGACTTGACAGATTTTCATGTAATAACAGGACCTAAAAGGCTACAGTTTCCTCTTCTTTGCAGAGGCCCAAACTATCTGTTGCCACTTATCTCTTGGAAATCTCTTTATAGAGTCCCATGACCTCTCTCTCCCCAAATCCACCTCCCCAAGCAAGGCCTTTTATGTCACTCCAACCAAAAAGAAAGCAAATCTTAGGCACTATTTACAATGTAGTATCAATTTGTTGGGTATATTTGTCCTTTTAGAATTCCTTCTGTTTTTAAAGCTTAGTCCACTGCAAGCAATGAACAATCTACAATTATACTGCTGATGAAATTATAATCATTCTATGACCTGAAATAGGAGCAATGTTTTGGGAAATTGAGCACTGCTATGTAACTTCATGTCACTCTTTTCTAGGTCAAAATCCGTTTCAATGGGAGGTCAATAAAAAGTCTGACCTAAAAGAATATTTTACTATCAAGTCAAAAATCTAGTGCAATGCTTCTAGTGCAAGGCTTATCTTTCCCTTAAAAGAAGACAGTAATCGAAACCTCATGAAAAAGTATAAGGAACATTAATGAAAATAGTCTCCCTTAACATCAGGGAAGTGAAGCTACTAAAGAAAGTGATTCGGATGTTTCATGTTATGCGATATGAGGCACTTTAATCTACAACACCTTTTATTCATGGTCTTCCAGTTATTTAAGCTTTGGCTTGTAGAAAGTCGTTTCATAACCTAAGCTGTTGTACTCAGAAGGCCACATGTACCCTCACTCCATAGACAGAGAAGGCAAGGGTTAACAGTACAACTGATGATGAGAGCAAAAGCCAGAAAAACTGACTTCTTCACCCTGGGCCCAAAAGAAAGGAAAATGCCCATGTACTGGAGTAAGCTGACTCACTCAAATCTACTGCCCTACCTTCTGAGCCTTGTGAAGGAGACCTAAGATAAAGTGACTAAGCGATCAAAGATTAGAGTGTTCCATGGGCTCCAGGGTAAGTCAAGTGAGTACCCTACCAGTGGGAAGAATTGTTCCACTCACCTTTAGATTTCCAGCCTCAGGCAGGGGACAGGGGGTACCCCACATGACTTATGCTGAAATAAGGAAGGAAGGGGAAATGTGCAATGGAGTTAGGAGTTCCAGTGAGAGACTTAAGGAAGGAAGAGAAATAAGCAGACACACACACTGGCAGCCACTAGGAGTGAAAATCTCCTTGGCAGCAGTAGGCTGGAAGAAAGGACAGAAGTACCTCTGGCCATAATGGGAATTTTACTGGACCTATTCCTCCTGAGCCATCTAACAGTGATCGCCTGTGGTAAGACAGCAAATAAGAACCTGGCTACCTCTGCTGGCATAAGCAAAAGACTAATAAGGGTGATGTTGAATGCTTGCTGGTGAGCAATGACATTCTCTTTTGTGAAGATGACTGTTTGTAACTAATGCTGCAGGGTTTATCAACTTTGGACAGAAGGGAGGGTGGTAGTTGAAGGTTGCCGGGAAATCCAAGGTGCATATTTGGGAAACATCTGCATGATTTTCTAGTGCTTGTATGTTAGAGACATCAAAAAGCCTCCTAATTCTACCCAAATAGTCCTGCCAAATCTGTTGTCTTTATTTGAAATTTTACCATTAGAACTAATCTATCCCCTGCCAGTCTGTAATGATATCCCTGTAATGATATATAATTCCTAAAGAAGAAATGTTGCCTAAGAGGTAGATGGGAACATAGAAGTAACTTGTACCATCATTTGTTGTTATGATCAAGTATTTAGCATTGTTTCACCATACTCCTCTAATTCTTGTGAGTTTACTTCTTCTCCATCTAGTCTATCCAAGTGTATTTCTAAATGTTGCTTGTGTTAAATGAAATCCACCTCTCTGTGAATTCCATCCACAGGCCCCATCTCTGTTTCTTGGAGTCCCACAGTAAATATCTTCTCCTCTTTCTATGTGACAGCTCTTCAGAAAGTCTGAAGACACACACTATGTCCTTTTAACTCTTCTCTTCCCCAAGCTAAATAGTCCAGCTCCTTCAAATGGTTTTTATATGCCTTGATTTCTTCCCTCTTCTTGGGATAACACACAGTGAATATGTCCCAGTTTAGGCTACTTGTGGGATGCTAATGCTAAACACATATTCCAACTATCTCATTGTGGCATCATTCCTGTGGGTCTTGTTCTATGCTTCTTTACATTCCTGAAAAGTGAGATAACTTTTCTCCAAGACATACTTGGGTAGTCGCTAAATGAAACTCAAGATAGGGTAAAGGGATTATTGCTGAGGCACTGCTTGTTTCATTTCCCTAGAGGGAGAAACTAAATAGGTGTTAGTTTGATGTTATTTGTGGGATCAGCAACCAAGTTTCCCTTTACTGACCCAATTTAAATTTCCAAGGTCTAGGATTCTGTCAACCTCTAGAACCTCAAATTTAGAAAATAATCTAAATTAAATAATCCAAGAGAAAAGAGTTTGTACCAGGCTACAGAGCATTAATGTCACAGTTAATGCTAATAAAAAGCAATATTCTTTCTACAGCTACAAGTTTTTTATTCTCCAAATATAACTTTTTATCTTCTCCAAATATGTCAGGTTGAATTGGGATTTATTGAGGCAGCGATTTGCCAAAACATTATATAAGTGTTAAACTTAAGTTGTGTGTATGTATGTTTGTTCATGCAAATCAAGAAAGCAAGGCGACGAGAGTTCTCATATGTCTTGATTTTTTCAGGCCTATGAGTTCTTCTAGCCCTTGAATCAGGCCTATCATTTGTGTGTGAGATTTTTCACCACAAAATGTAGGCTCAGGATATACTGAATATCTTACAATGCCTTTCTTCTCCCTGCACCTCAGTGTTGGCAGTCTATCTGTACAATAAGAAAGTTGAGTTGGCTGGGCTCCAGTGAGACTGCCTGCTGGACAGCTCTGAGCAACTATGGCCTTGCAGCTAAAATAGTCCTACAGGCCAGAAGAAGCTGTCTATCTCTTCCTGTGGGTTAAAAAGCATGTTGAAATCATTATAATAAAAAAATCCTAACATTCACATTTTATAAACTTTTGAAACATTTTGTAAACATTTTATAAGTACTCTGTTGAATCTAATCCTTTGTCCATGAGGTAAGTAGTAACAGTTAAAGCTTGGCAAAATAACAAATACCCATCAACTGAAGAATAGATAAAGATATGGTCTTTTTATACAATGGAATACTAACTACTCAGAGATTAAAGGATAAATAGAAGGCTTTTATAGGTAAATGGATGCAATTGAGACCATACTCATAAGGGAAATAAATGTGCAAACATGTACAAACATCATATTGTCTCCCTGGTGTGAGAAACTGAAACAGTAAATAAATGAGGAACAAAATGTACAATAGATATTTTAAAATAGAAAGAAATTGTTCAAAATGGAAGAGGAACTAAGATTAGAGAAAGGGGCAAGGAAGGAAGGGAAAAGAAAAAAATACAAGATAGTTATACTACTGTCTCTTAGTTCACTGAAAGGAAAGGTTCCTGTTAATATAGTTTGAAGAATTTTATAGTCATATCTTGTATGCTGAATAACCACTTTAAAGATAGCTACATACAATGTATTAACCATTGTTATTCTTTTATTATTTTGTTGTGAAATTTTTAAATTTTTTCCACAAAAAGTGTGGTACCCTGAATATGAAATCTCAGTCTCTTTGATGATGGAATAAGATTCACAAAGGGACTCAGAGTGAGTCAGGAAAGGTCTCACACTCAACGTATTAGGTCTTTCTTTTCTTCAGGACCATTACACAGGCTCAAGATCTTTGGTTATCTAAGTCCAGGTCCCAAGACCAGAGTACTGGCTCCTCTTTCTTGGGGCAAACTTTTCAGAAAATAATTCCGCTCTGAGTTCCTCTATGACTTTCTGCTGTTGCTTATTTACTTTTGACGCTATTAATTCATATATTTCAGCTGAGCTAGTGTCCTCTGCACTTGTTCTGGGTGGGCACTGGGTTTCCTCCATACATTTCAGTCTTTGATTTTTTACTGTAGATGCTATTAATTCAGGGATTTCTTTTTTCATTTCCAATCTGAGTTCTCTATCCCTTTCTGCAGTTGTTTCTTTATTTCAGAAGCTATTGATTCATTGATTTCAGCTGTGTGATTCCCAATTTGTTCTGTGTTAGTGTCCTCCACACTTGTTATGGTTGGGCTTGGGGTCTGAGATTGCATTTTGCTCCTTCTTGTCATTTTGTGTAGCACTGTCTTCTGACCTTTGTTGTAGAGCTTTCATGCAATTATAACCTTATCACCTATTGAAATTCAGGTGCAGATCTACAAAGCTTGAATTTATTCAGCTGTGCCTGTCTTGGGTCTGGCTGCTGTGCTCAGCTTCTTCCTGCTGCTGCCTTTGGGAGTGAACCTGTTGTGCCCCTCTGGCAAGATGTTCTGTTCCTGGACTAGCCGGGTGGTTCTGTCTCTGAAGGGACTGCAGCTGCAGAGTTTCACCCCAGGCCTGTATGCCAGGCCTGAGCTGAGTCTGAAGGGGGTAAGGTGGAGTAGTGGGGAGAGGAAGCTCTCCCACACACTCGCTGGGTCTGGGCAAGGGCTGGATTTGGGGGTCCCTAGAACACGCAGAAGTTCTCACTCACTGGGCGGGAGTGGGGGGGTACTGCGGAGTGGAGGGGGGTCCTAAGCGGGTGGGAGAAGGTCTCACCCATGCTGCACCTGGGCTTGAACCAGACATGTCCCGCCAGCACAGGGTAGCTGGCAGCTCTCCCACACACTCACCGGGCCTGGGCTAGGGCTGGATCTGGGGGTCCCGAGAACGCAGCAGAAGTTATCACTTGGAGGGCGGGGCGGCGGGGGGTTGCAAAGTGGTGGGTGGGTCCTAAGGGGGTGGAAGAGGGTCTCACCCACGCTGCGCCTGGGCTTGGACTAGACAGGTCCCGCGGGTGCAGGGTAGCCGGAAGCTCTCCCACACAGTCACCTGGCCTGGGCTAGGGCTGGATCTCCCTTGGGGCAAACTTTTACTTCAAAAAACTCTTTGATATTTACACAGTAATTTCTCATGAATCCTGTAGAGGCTGTGGAAGTAGAGAAATTACTGTGTAAATATAGAAACACCATGTATATTCTTACTCCATTGGCTGCCTGAATCTCATGAGGGATAAGCTTTTTGGTCAGCTTTAATCGTAAAATACAGAACAAACAGTTGGTGATGGTCTGGTCAAAAGGGATGTATAAATATATCCAAGAAAAGCTGCCCAAGGTATCACCTCAGAACATTGTTGTGTTTTCTTGTGTGTTAAGTTAGATTTGGTTTGGTTTGATTTCTAACACAGTATTTTTAATATCAAGCTTCTTGATACGGTGACATTTGTTATTTACAGTTGTAGGTTTTGCTTACTGTTCATCTATTTCCTTATCCCTTTGTCTTCCAGCTATTTTAATGTACTATCACAATACGTGACAACTTGAACATCAGGCTCTGCCTACTATAAATATTTTGTTCATTTAGAGGAGCTTGCTAACCTGGCTCTCGGACCAGACCCTCTGTGTGGAGGATTCTAAAGAACCTGGAATCTTCCTTGTGTTCCTTGGCATAAGGGAGGTCCATATTCAGTGTGGACACTGTGCTAGTTTATGATTGTTTATGATTTCTGGTTTTAAGAAAGAGAAAACAAAATTTTTGCCTCATTAACATTTCTCTCAAGGGAAGTTTGCTGTTTTATTTTTAATTTTCTACTGTAAGAGAAGTCCATTCTTTAGTTCCTACCAAATACCTGACTAATAGTAATGACATGTTAAATAGTGAATATTCACGACCTGTCACTATGAAAACTGTCAGTAGTATCCGGGAAGATAGCTTAGTAGAATAAACATTTGCCTGGCAAGCACAAGGGCTTGAGTTCAATCCCCGGTTCCACCAGAAAAAAAACCAAAACTGTCAGTAGTACTTAGCAGTGAGAACAGATAAGATAAATGTCAATATAATTCCAATTTTGTTTTTAGAAAGCAGACTAAGATTCAGTTCACCTATAAATACTGAATGTGATAATGCTATTCAAAGATTTCACATTTGGGATAGAAGCTCAATAACTCAGGACAAGATTCTCTGCCAATCTCAAATTAGCAAGTATATAGAATTTTCTCTCTCTTTTTAAAAATTATTAATGGGGATTGGACCAAGTGCTTTTGCACTAACCTACATCTCAGCCTTTTTTTTTTTTTTTTTGACACAGGATCTCGCGAATTTTCTAAGTTGCGCAGGCTGAGCTCATGATCCCATCCTCCTGCCTCAGCCTCCCTAAGTGTTCTAATCACAAGCATGTATCACCACACCTGTCTCTTCTTATCTATCTGAAAATGTGGTAAAAGCTTGGGTAGTCTTCAGCATCAGACATCCTGGCGTTTCCGATTCAGGTGGGGCATCAGGCTTCTCACATCTTTACACCAGCCTCCCCAGCTAGTGTGCACTCTTGATCCATCTTCCCATGGCATTCACTGACAAGATGGCATCTGTACCTTTATTTGGGGGAGACAGATTAGAATTTCCCCTGTCTCAAGGGGTATGAGAAGGTCTTGACCGGGCTATATAACTTTGGTGGACTAAATTTCTTGACTATGTCAAAGAACACTTCCTATGCATGGTTTATAATCTGGTATAAATTTCTTCCAAGTACCTCTCTCTGCAACCTGCCTCTGCTTGGCATTGGGATTGAAGTTCCATGTCTTATGTGCCCACACATTTTTCCTTTTGCCACTTATTTACTCATGAGTTCAGATTGTGTCAAATGCTGACAAAACATCTAAGACTGTCAAGAAAAGGGGGGAAAGTTGACTTACAGTGTGTAGTCATGATAAAATGTCCTAATGTTATTTGGCTATGTAGTACATAGAAACAGAAAACAACAAATAAAGTCATGTTTTTTACAACTTAAAAAAAAAACCTCCTTGAGTCAGTGTTCAGGTCTAGTCTTTCTCCTGAGGGAGACCAATATATTTTACAATGCAATTCTTACCTGAAGATAAGACAAGATTCTAGAAAAGTCTTTTCATAAAACATCTGGAAAATGAGGGCCTTTTTTCCCAGGCAGTCAAAAAGATAATATCTATTACTAGAATGATATCCTTCAAACTATGTCACATAGGTACAGATAAGAAGTTGCTGACTTCAATTATAGCTGGTTGTTTAGCAGGTTAAGAAAGAAAGCAATGTATCATCTTAAAACCTATAATTTATACCTCTAGCCCCAACTTTACCTTACAATATATGACTTGGATAAGAATATCTTTCTCTGAACCTTAGCCTGCCCATCTACAGTGATACCTGTATAAGCTCAGTTCTTGAACTCGATTTGTTTTGTAGTTTTGGAAAAGATGACCACATTTATGTTTGAGTGAGAAAAATTGCCACATTTATAGTTGTTACCCAATGGAGATATTACAAACAAAAGAAAAATTTGGCCACATGCTTCTGTTTGTGAAACAAATTATGTTCAAGCAAAAGAGATCATAAAGTGAGATAGCACTGTTTATCTATGAGGAAATGTGACTATTTCTAAAAGCTCTCCTAGCTACACAATTCCAGAAGTCTCAAAATTTCATTCTACCTGATACCTCAATCTCTTTTTTATCAAATGGCTCATAAGATGGTGTTTTTTATGTATCACTAAAGTACACAACATTTCCCCAGTAGGAGGGGTTTTTTGAAGTGGATTGTTCCTACCTAGTCTTGTAAAATAAAGTCAGGAGGATTGCTCTGATTTGACCTACATTTCACATTCTTTGGCAAGCTAGTCTTGTGATTGAGGCACATTCTGCTGTCTTCTCTGTTTTCCCTAAAACCCATAGATAGTCTGTACCTGCCCAAATCTCAGTAGAATCTATAAGACTGAGAAGGGGGCACCCTTATTTGTCATGTGATAGCTCTCCTAAAAGTCCCTATGAAAGCCAACAATGATCCAGTCAAATGAATATATATATATATTCATATATATATCCAGAAGAAGGCATATTGAGAACTTCTATAGGACAGACAGAATCAAGACATATATAAAAAGTTTTACTTGAGGCATAAGAGAAGCTACTGATGTTTATCTAGAATCTATTGAATGTCAGATATATATGTATTTTCACATTTATAAGTTAACTTTTATTTGTAACAACAATCTTCCAAGAGAATAGTTTCATTATTTTTATTTTATCAGTGATGACATGAAATTCAGACAGGCACAGTAATCTATACAGTACAGGTAGCTCCAGGATTTTATCCATAACTTTTTCTTGTCCACACCAAACATGAGTACATTATCCAGCTTTCTTGCAACTGAGACACAATACTCAGCACCCACAACTTAAAGGAGGAAAAGCTTCATTTGGCTCATGGTTTTGGTAAATCCAGTGCATAGGAGGCTAGCTTTAAGGCAGAAACAGCATGGTGGATGAGCATAGCAGAGAAAAGATTCATGGAAGCAGAGCAGGAGAATAATTCTGGAGTGCAAAGACTGAGGTACCAGACACAGAGCCTAAAGCCATGTCTCCATGATTCAACTAGACATTCCCAGAACTGTGATCCACAGGTTGGATCATGAAGTTAATCAAAATAAAAGTCCACCCTAACTATAGTGGGAAAAAAACCTTTCTCTCAGGCTGAGATTTCCCTTGGTATCTTTGATGAAAACTAAGAGAAGCTAAAAGAGAAATAAAGACAAAGAAATCAGAAAAATCAATCTGGCTTACAAGGTACAGGTTTCAAAGATAAAAATAACTAATGGCTTTGTTAAACATGAATACATACCTAAGCCTGTCTTTACACCAAATTTCACCATCATAATTGCCTATTGCCTACTTCCTTCTACCCTTCCACAGCACAGCTTAGGAGAAAGAAGGGATAATTTTATTTTTTTATCATTTACTTACTTATTTATTTGGTACAGGGCCTCACTACATAGCTCAGACTCATAGCGATTGTTCTGTATCAGCCTCTTGAGTGCTGGGATTACAGGCGTGCACCACCACGCCCAGTCTCAGTGGCCAGCACAGAGCACCAGGAAAGGCAAGTGGTACTGGGGATTGAACCCAGGTCCTTACATTTGGCAGGCACTTTTACCACCGAACTATCTCCCCAGCCCCAGAACACCCATTCTTGCCAAGTCCCAAATCCTCTGTATTTTTTCTGGCCACACATTTACACAAAACTGAAATAGTCCAGACATAACTGCTCATGATTTTTGTTCTCACATCTTCTGGAAAAGAAAAATTGTGTAGGTATGCAGAATTCAAGAGTTGGTAAAATCCTCAAAGATTATTCTGTAAATTGATCCTAAATGGTAGGACTGACTTCCCTAGGAGCATTTCATAGCAAGAGATTGAAATGAAAAGGACTTGAAACTCACAAGAGCTAAAGTCACTAAGGTCTTTCCTTTCTAAAAACTAGTTATATTTGATAGGTTATTTCTATTTGAAGGTTAGCAGACAACAAAAGTGCACTAAGAAAACAGAACTGTGATAGAAGGAAAGTTGAGAAATGTTTCTCAGAAATTTCTTGAGGCCTGCCACTAAATTGCAGGTCCCAAGTGTACATGAGTTCTATGTTTGTTTTCTCCCTCTGTTCCCTCTCTTCAGGACATCCCATCCTGGAAGCACCCGAGAACATAAAAGGACCCTGGAAAGGGAATGTGACTATTCCTTGTACCTATGGTCCCCTAAAAGACTATACCGAAGTCATGGTGAGGTGGTTGGTACAACGTGACTCAGAACCAGTCACCATCTTCCAACGTGATTCCTCTGGAGAACATATCCAGCAAGCAAAATACCGAGGTCGCCTGTACATGAGCCAGAAGATTCCAGGGGTTGTATCTCTCCAGCTGAATACCTTGGAGATGGATGACAGAGGCCACTACACCTGTGAAGTCACCTGGAACACCCCTGATCACAATCAAGTGATGAGAGAGAAGATCATTGAGCTTTATGTACAAAAATGTGAGTCACCGTACAAACAGGAAAACATTGCTAGGCAAAGATTCAATAGAGCACTGTAATCCTAGAAGCTTCTGAGAAATGAAGAAACCTTGGTTTATCTGTACAATAGGCTCTCTCCAATTATATGTGCTAATCAGAGGAAGTGCACAGTCAGAAAATCCTCAGTGTCATCACTCTTATGGTAGAAGTTAAGAAGTGTTGGGAAGGGTTTCTGCCTCAAATCTACCTCTTCAAGTGTTCTCAAATTTCTAACATTCATATTATGTTGCCTTCCTTAGGTTTTGGGACCTTAAAACTTATAAAAATGAATCATTATGATCAAGATACTAGAAGCTTAATCAGCTATTCTTGTCTTGAAAATCTGTAACATATATATTGTTGTATGTCACCCTGTTTCTGTCTTTGTTTCTGATTTTTTGTTCTTGCTTTTGTTACTTTTCAGAATAAAATTTTTAAAAAAGATACTCAAAGCTACACAGATACTGATAGAACTGTTGTGGGAAAAGAGAGGCAAGAGGTTAGCCAAGATAAGGTTTTCTGGGTTAAAAATTTATAAAGTTCTGGTCTTAATAATCTGACAATACAAAAAATAGAGAAAATTTGAGGCTGAAAATGGCATTTGCTTAAGTCACTTGTTTTTTTTTTCACTCAGAACATTTTTAATAATGCACATTTAAAAAGCATTTATCTTACAAATTGTTCTGCTATGCAAATATACAACAGCTTGGAAAACAACATTTAGAAAACAAAAACCAATATAAAAAGACAGTAAACAACTACAACAGTACAGGTTTTCAAGGCTCAGATTCTACAGCTTTCTTATTGCATCGTCAGTGTCAGAAATCTGCTCCTTCAACTGACCACTGCTCTGGATTTAAAGAAATACCTTTTCTTCCTGGTTTTATTTTATCTTCTGGATCCATTCAATATTCTCTAATATCAATTAGAACTTTCCCTTTAAATTCCTGAACACTGACACATCTAATTTTCCCAGTCTGAAACATGTTATCATCTCTGCTGCTGCTCTGCCTAGAAGATGACAGAGCTCTTGAAGTTTCATCAGTCTTCTGCTTCTTTACAGGCTTTTCTGGAACAACTTCCTTTTTCCTCTTTAACTTTTTATCAACTTCACTGTCAGAATCGCTGCCTGAAGAGCTTGAAGAAACAAGTTCCTTTGATTTAGGCATTGCTCCACTATTGCAGTCGACAGCCTCCTGCTCACTTGAGACTGCTAAATCACTTGTTCTGAATTCCAGATAATCCCAAACACAATAATACCCTATAGTACCCGACGCTCCAATGGAAGCTATTTTTGGATACTTTAAGCTCACTTACTTAACACTTACCTAGAATATATGAGGCTCTGGATTCTATCCTCAGCTCTGCAACAAAAATGTGATGCAAAGGAAGGTATTTGTATTTGCTGTTCCCTTCTTCAGTCCCTATTCAGGAGCCATCTTTAGTTCCAGTTGCAGACACATGCATGCCCTTATGCTCAACCAGGATGACTTGACCTTGTGTTGCATGACATTATGATTTCCCAAAGCCTCCTCTCTTTGCTTCCCCTTGCAGCTCCTGTCTCAAAGCCCACAGTGACAACTGACAGTAGCTATGGCTTCACTGTGCCCCAAGGAATGAGAATTAACCTTCAATGCCAGGCTTGGGGTTCTCCCCCCATCAGTTATGTCTGGTACAAGGAACAAACTAATGACGAGAAACCCATCAAAGTATCAGCCTTGAGTACTTTAGTCTTCAAGCCTGCAGTGGTGGCCGACTCAGGATCCTATTTTTGTACTGCCAAGGGCCGTGTTGGCTCTGAACAACGCAGCGACATTGTAAAGTTTGTGGTCAGAGGTGAGTAATCTTCCCTCCAGGTAAGCATCTTAACAGAACAAATATACCTCCCTCATGCCAGAGAAGGCTTGGAAAAGTGGAGTCCTGGTTAAGCAGTGATCATGCAAACACAAACATACACACACACACACACACACACACACACACACACAAGCACATATAATATTCAGAATCAGAGACAGCAGGGTTTGAGACAATACTTGTTATATAAGAATGGTAATATGATATTTTTATTAGGTATCTTGTATTTGCCAGATATAAAGTTTGAGAACTTTACATACATTTCCCGACTGAAGCTTCACAAATATGCCATTAAATGGCTAGCATATTGTTTTGTTTTTTGTTTGTTTGTGTTTTTTTTTGGTGGTACTAGGGATCGAACTCAGGACCTTGCACTTGCCAGGCAAGCATTTATTCCACTGAATTATCTCCCCTGACTCATTACTCTTATTTTATAGAAAGAAAACAGAAAGAGCAACCTACTTGGTTATGGACTCACATCAAGGAAGTGTAAATCCAGATTTGCACTCAGATTTTGCTCTTTACACCATGTCTTGTTTCCTGTGGTTGAATCTTTCTTAATACCCTTTGAAAGCTGTTCTTTTAGGGTGTTTTTTTCCTTTGGTTATTTTGTTTCTTTGATTGGTTTTTCATTTTATAAGGAAAGTCTAAATTTTTACATATTTTCTTTCATTTATCCCATCTCCCTACAAATTCTCACACTGGGAAGGTAATATGGACACTGATTCATCTCTCCATGAGTCACCACTCTGGTCAAGCAGCGAGGACACATGCATGCAGCATGCAATGATCAAAATACAACCTCCTTTTACTCACCTTCACCCCTACATATAACTTATAACCTCTATTAACTACTATTCTACATTCAGGATGCTCAGAAAGGTCAAGGATTTGCATTTCATAAAGAGACAAATTCAATGTTCTTATCTTTTCTGCGTTACTTAGCATTTATTGAATATCAACTTTATGCCACTAGGTTATACAATCCAAGAGTGCAAGTTCTGCCTACTTCATAGATACTTCCCACAGTCCATCAAAGTACTTGGTACATAGAAGACATTAAATGAATATTTTCAACATGAACAAAATATATTACCACCTTACCTTCAAAAATTTGCCAAACTTTTGCCAAAATTATTTTCCTAAAACTTCAACTGAAAAATGCTCACTCCCTTTCTTAAAAACCTTGTGTTACTCCCTGTGAATCTTTCCATCAAAGAAGAAAGCCCAAAGTCTTTTAGTTTATACTCAGCCTTACTATTCAGCCTTATTTTCTAATACATCTCTCTATATCTCAAACATAGTATATTGTTATGTCTGCCTGTGATGTTCTTCCAATCTTCTTGGTCTAAAGAAATTTTATTGACCTTTCATTCATATTTTCTTTTTGTATTAAAATATACTTCACATACAGAAAGATTCAACAGTTTTAGATATATACTTCCTTGGTTCTCATGGTTGTGTAGCCATCACCATTATCTTATTGTAGAACATTTCATTTGCCCTAAAACACCCCTTAAGTGGTCATTTCCATTCCCCTAGTCCCCCAAACCCCAGAAGACACATATCAGCTTTCTGTTTCTATAGACTTCCTATACTGTATAGTTCACAGAAATTGAATCACAAAGTGTAACCCTCTTTGCTCATTTTTGTTACTTAATATAATATTTTCAAACTTCATTCATATGCAACATATATCAATAAATCATTATCTATTACTGAAAAACAGAGCATTACATGGTTGTCCCACATTAGTTATCCAATTTTCAGTCAGTGGGCACTTGGGCTGTAGCTACATTTTAGCCCTATGAATGACTAAGCATTATGAATAATCACGTAACAATTTTTGTGGACATATATTTTCAATATCCATAAATATATGGCTAAGAGTTGAATAGCTAAGACCCTAAAGGTTCTAAACTCTTTTCAAAAATGGTTGTATTATTTTATTTTCCAAGAAGTAGTATATAAGGGTGCCAACTTCTCCACATTCTCAGCAATATTTTGTTTTATTGTTTTAAATTATAGTCATACTAGTAGATGCGGCATGGAATTTCACTTTGGCTATGACTTAGATGTCCTTAATGATGAATACTTTTGAACATTTTTCATAAACTTGTTGGTCATTTGTATGCTTTATTTTCATTCATATGCAATATTTTATACATATTAATTAAATTCAATGTGATATTTTGACACATGCATACAGCACGCACTGATCAAAATGCAAATTCCATTTACCCACCTCCAGCTATGCACATCACTTCCAACCTTTTTTAATTACTAATCTATATTCTTGTTGACATTCTTAATATTTTGTGTATGAGAGAAGGCATGTGATAGTTTTTTTTTGTGTCTGGGTTATTTTAGTTAACAGAATATCTTCCAGTTCTATCAATTTTGCTGTAAATGATAGGATTTCATTTTTCTGCATAGATATATAATATTCCACTGGGTATATATACCATATATTTTTTTATCCATTTAGCTACTGAGAGATCCCCTAGCCTGCTTCTATATATTAGCTATTGTGAATTATATCATGATAAACATTGACATGCAGATACTTCCCCACTGCGTTGACTTCATTTCTTTTGGAAATGTACCCAGAAGTGTGATCATTGGATCATATAACAGATCTATTTTTAGTTTCATTTTTTGAAAAGCCTCCTTACTGTTCTTCATAATTGTGATATAAATTTATGCTTCATTCAGTGGTACATAAAAGTTAGTTTTTCTTAACTTTTTTGCTACCATTTATCATTCTTTGTTTTTCTAATAATAGCTTTTACAAATGAAGTGAGGTAGTATCTCATTTGTACTTCCCTGATGGTTAAAGATAATGAATAGTTTTTTATATACTTGTTGATCATTCATATTTTGGCGAAGTTTGTTTCTGATCATTTAACCATTTTAATTGAACTATTTGATATGTTTCTTGCATTTTTAGTTTCATATATTCAGATATTAATTATTTTGTTCTATGAGTAGTTTGAAAATATTTTCTCCCATTTTCTACGTCTTCTTTACTCTGTTGATAGTTTTCTGTGCTGTACAGAGTCTTTCTAGTTTGATGAAATCCCATTTGTCAAATTTTGTTTTGTTTCTTGTCCTTTTGCGGTTTTATCCTGAAGACAGTACCCATGTCTGAACATGTTTCCCAAGTTTGCACCTAGCGGTTTCAGAGATTCAGGTTTTATATTTGAGTTTCCAATCCATCTTGAGTTAACTTTTGCACAAGAGAGATAGGGGTTAAGTTTAATCTTTCATCAAAGTAGTAACAAGGCCCGACCCTGCTTAGCTTCCGAGATCAGACAAGATCAAATGAATTCTGGGTGTATGGCTGGAGTCGAGTTTAGCCTTCTACATATGAATATCTTGTTTTCCAGGCACCATTTGTTAAAAAGATTGTCCTTTCTGTAATGTATGCATTTGATAACTTTGTCCTCAAACAGTTAAATATAGATGTGTGATCTTATTCCTGGACTTTCTATTCTGCTCCATTGGTCTATGTGTCTATTTTTGTACCAGTACCTGCTCTTATGGCTCTCACATGTTTTTAGGTCAGTTATGGTGACACCTACATTCTCCTGTGAGAATTGCCTATCCAAATATTTTAGTCATTGTTCAAATTGCATTGTTTGCCCTTTTGTTGTTGAATTGTACCTTAAATATTTGGAGTACTAGTTCAATATCAAATACATTATTTGCAAATATTTTACGTAGTGTCTTTTCACTTTCTTGGTATGTTCCTTAAAGCAAAAAACACTGTTGATGAAATCTAACTTCCCTGTTTTTTATTTTAATAACTGTACTTTTGGTGTCATATCTGAAAATTATTGCCTAACCCAAGTTAACAAAGAGTTACACCCATGTTTTCATCTTGATGTTTTGTTACTTTAGCTCTTTTATTACTTAAATGCATTTAATTTAATTCTGATATTAACTCAACTTTGACATTTGTAACAACATGGATGAACCCAGAGTATTGTATTATTTTTATGCTACTATAATGGAATTGTTTTTTAGTATCATTTTTTGGATTGTTCAGTGCTAATGTATAGAAATAAAACCAATTATGTATTTTTATCTTTTTCCCTGCGGATTTGACTAACTTCTTTATCAAGTTTAATCATTGTTTTGTATTTAAACATTTTTTCAATCTCATCATATTATCTGTAAATAAACATAATTGCATTTCTTCTTTCCCTGGTTAAGATACTAGAGCAATCTCAGGGTACCATATATGATAAGCAAGGGTGGGGGTTTTTTGTTTGTTTTTTTTTTTGGCGGAACCGGGGATTGAACAAGAGTGTTTTTTGTAAATACCCATCATAAGATTGAAAGAGTTTCCTCTGCTCCTAATTTGTTGTTTTATCATGTAAGTGTATTGGTTTGTGTTAAAATTTTTTTTTGTTTAGTGTGATTAATGGGCGCTTAATAATACAGGTTAGTTTTATGTATACTTATTTTTAATGCTAATCTATGCTAATATATCCTTCAATCTTGTTATAATCCTTTTAATATTCTGCTGAATTTGATATGCTAGTATAATTAAGGGTTTTTGTATAAAGATTCATAAAGAATATTGGTTCTTAGTCTTTGTATATTTTTCTCTGCTTTGTATCAGGGCAGTACTGGTCTTGTATATTGAGTTGAAAAATATTATCTCATGAATTTTTAAAATAATTAATGAAGATTTGGCATTAATTTTTGTAGTGTTTGATAGAATCCATCAGTGAAGCCATTTGAGCTTTTACTTTTCTTTGTGAGTAATTGTTTGGTTAGCAATACAATATTTTTGCCTGTTAAACTTGTCATGCCAAGTTTTCTATTTCTTATTCAGAAATTATTTTCAGTTATTTCTCATTTCATTTCATTGTGGTTAGGGAATATAACTATCATTTTAATTCTTTGAAATTTACTGATATATGTATATTCTGTATAGCTCTGTTAGTTGTAATTAATTCATAGTGTTTTTCAAATCTTTACCTTCTTTTCTTATCATCTATCTAATTGTTCTGGCCATAAATGAAAGTGAGATATTAAACTCTAGGACTATTATTGTTAAATGTGCTATTTTTCTCTTGTTAGTCTTATGAACAGAAAGTAAAGATTATGACACAGCTATAAACTGCTTCACTGAGTATTAAAAATATGGTATAGTAGGCAAGAAAGTTATTTGGCAGGGACTAGGAAATTTATTGATGACTGATATTTAAGAAAATATACCTACAATTATTAGGTGGACAACTAAACTAACCAAGAAGACTTCATTGACCATCCATGGCAAATAATATGAAAGACTATACAGAATTAATTCATAAATTCCCTGAGCAAAACGAACCAAAAAAAAAAACTATTAGAGCAAGCTAAGTCAACAAGCCTTAGGGAAGGAACAGATAAGATTTTCAACATTATCCTATTATATTATTCTAAAAGCCTCATTTTCATCTAAAAGAAATGTAAGACATGTAAAGAAATTATAAAGTATAGCCCATTAAGAGGTAGAGAAAAAGTCTTACATAAGTTCTTTCATTTTTGCTTGATGAATTTGCAGACTCTGCTCTTAGGATATACATATATAATTCAATTAATAAAATATTGATTTTTATAATTCTAAATTGCTTTTTATCTCCTGAAACAATATTTTCTGATTGTTTCTCCCTCTTTTTTACCACAAAATTGTTTCTGTCTTTGAAGCCTAAGTGCCATATAATATAGTTAAATTGATAGGTGTTAATCCACTCTAAAAATCTCTGCCTTTAAATTTTTTTTTCTGCCTTTAAATTTTTGAGTTGTTCCCGTTTAAGTTTAACATAGTTGCAAATAAGGTAGGATTTAATTCTGCTAGTTTTCTATTTTGCTCTATATAGTATATCTTCCTTTTTTCACTATTTTTTCATTACTGACATCTTTGTTATTCAATAAATGATGTCAAATGTATTATGTAATTCCTTTATTTTTAACAATATGTTTTGTTAGGTTTCCATGTGGATTATCATTAATTTTTAATGTACAATTGAGTTTGGATTTGTATCATTTTAATTCCAATAATGTACAAAATATATTTCTAGATCTCCATTACATCCCCTTTAATGCTGTTGTGACATCTTTATATATTATAATGAAATCAGCAAAGATTATTTCTTTATACACTTTTTTGGATACCATTTAGCCTTAAATTCCTGGGCTCAAGAAATCCTACTGCTTCATCCTCTTAAGTAGCTTTAAACATAGCCACATGCCACTGATAGCTTTATGTAGTGTATGTTAAATCAGATAGGAAAAATATATTTATGCTCCACATTTATTAAGCAGATTGCTTTAATTTTTTTCATATTGGTTTGTGTTACTATGTAATGTCCTTTTATTGGGGCATAAAAAATATTGTTTGTTTGGTTGATTGATTGGTTTTAACATAGGGTCTCACTTTATAAAGCAGATTGGTATTATGCTTACTGTGTAGCCCAGGGTAGCCTCTAACTCACTATCCGCATGCCTCAGCCTTCTGAAGTGTCCCATGTATCTCGAAGATTTTGTTCATGTTTTTATTTATTTCCATCTTGATTCCACTAACAATAATTTCAATCATATCTTGAATTTTACTGATGCTTCTATTCTCTCAGCTCAGATCTGCTAATAGTTTCTTTTTTCCATCTAATAACATTTTCTTTCTGATTACTGTGCTTTTCAACTGAAGAATTTCTACTTGGTTCCTTTTTATAACACCAGTCTCTTTATTGATATTTTTATTTTACTTGAGTCATTACACTTATTTTGCTATTTAGGTACATTTTGCAATTTTAACACATTTAAATTGTTTCATCTATTAAATTCACTATAATTTTTTCCTCAAGGACAGTTTCTACTTATTGACTTTTTCTTTACCTTTTAATGGGATATACTTTATAATTTCTTTGCATGTCTTACATTTCTTGTAGCTGAAAATGAGACTTTTAGAATAATATAATAGGATAAAGTTGAAAATTTTATCTGTCCTTTCCCTAAGGCTTGTTGTTGACTTAGCTTGCTCTAATAGTTTTTTATTTTTTTACTTTGTTTTGTTCAGGGAATTTCTGGATTAATTCTGTATAGTCTTTCATATTATTTGCCATGGATGGTCACTGAAGTCTTCTTGGTTAGTATAGTGTCCAGCTAATAATTGTAAGGATATTTTCTTAAATATCAGTCATCAATAAATTTCCTAGTCCCTGCCAAATAACTCTCTTGCCTACTATACCACATTTTTAATACTCAGTGAAGCAGTTTATAGCTGTGTCATAATCTTTACTTTCTGTTCATAAGACTAACAAGGGGTAATAACTTGTGATCTTTTCAGGTAATTCCTGAAAATGCAAAACTCTGTGCATGTATGTGGCCTTCTAGATTCCCAGGAATGTATCACAGCTTTTTAAATACCTTATCGGCATCTCATTCTTCTGTTTGCCATTTTAAGATTTTGGTTAGTCTCCTTTTCTCAAAATTGTAAGCCATTTCCTCAAGCATCTATGTGACAAATATTCTTCTATCTTCAAAAAGAAGCTTTTAGATCTGAGTGACCAATCTATTGAGGCACATCTTCCAAGGAAGTAACAAGTAGGTCAAATAATGGCAATTTTTTGGAAATAAGGCATGTTCTACTCACTCCATCAACTAAAATGAGGAGGGTTTGGGGTTGTTTTTACATTCTTTAATTTTTTTATTTTGAAATAGAATATTAAAATAGTGAAAAATATTAGAAATAATACAGAATTTCACTAAACAAAATAATAGAAATCTAGCAACAGTTTTTATATTACATATTGTTGTCTTCAGATTACTTATTCAAATTACCAGATAGAAGCCTGTAAGATTGGTTAAAAAATTGCTTAAAACAATTAAAAAGAAGGGCTGTGGAGACAGCTCAACAGTATAAACTCCAGCCTGACAAGCACAAGGTCGTGAGTTCAATCCCAAGTATAAAACAAACAAACAAACAAAAAAAAACCCTCATACTTGACCTGGGGAAATAGCTCAATTCCTTAAGTGCCTGCCTGGCAAAGCAAAAGGTCCTGACTTTGATCTCCAGTACCAAAAAACAAACAAAAAATTAAAAAGGAGAGAGAAAAAATGTATTAACTGCTCCTTTCAATAGACCAGCAGAAATCAGCAGTGCAATTATCCAAGTTATCCTAAGTATATACATATATATTTCTTTTTCCTTGGAAAGAGGTTTTATTTTCTGATTACATCTGAGCTGGCAAGGAATGACAGAACTAAAGTTAAATGCCATAAAACAAAGTTTTAATACTACAGAACTCACCCTTACTACCCCAAAATAGGGTGTTTTCTTCCATCAGTCTTCCCTGTTGTTACAAACCTTTGGACAATTTCCAAAACTCTGGGAGAAAATGAACATCATTTTTTCTGTTCTTTTATTGCTTTTATGAAGCAGTTAGTTTTTGGAGATAATATTCCACCATTTTCATTGATGTCACCCATTCCCACGTACTTTGTAAGATTTCCAAAATCCCTCTCAATAGAGTGAGCACTAAATTTCATTTAAAAGTTAATAATAAAATATATTTTCTCATCAAAGTTTACAGACCCTTTGAACCCTCACCATACACTCCTAGGCTTAAGAATAATGAACACTGACTTAAGAATACTGCCTTAGCTTGGTATTTAAAGAATAAACAGACAGTACAGGACTAACCAGTATCATGAGGCAAGTGTTGAGAGGTTTACAAACGGGCCTGACTGGCTCTTCCTTCCTTCCTAATTTTCTAACATGTTCAGCTATTCACTTCAGGATACCAAGGCCCTTTATTTGGCTCCCCTTTTTCTTGCAGATTCCTTAAACGCAGTTGACATCCAGAAGGGAGCACCTAAAATCACAAAGGCCCCACTGGAAGGTGAGTTTTACTAGGATTCTATAGGAGAAAGAGAAGTTTGAAATGGTGTCATATGGGGGCCTGCCGATTAGCTCAGGTGTTTAAGTGCCTGCTGAAACAAAGCAGTCAGGCTCAGGATGCTGTGGTTTGATCCCCTCATCTTCAAGCCAAACCAGACCTGCCCTGAAGGCATCCTGAGTGGCACCAAAAAAAACAAAAAACAAAAAAAAACAAAAAAAACAAAAAACAAAAACCTCCTGAAATGGTACCATAGAAACCAATACAAAAGCCCAAGTACCATTAAACAACAAGTAAATGATCACTGGGCTACTCAGAGAAAACAGTGTAGTAAATGAATGGCAACAAAGCAATAAGTGAAGTACAATCATGAAAACAAGACTTTTCTTTGTGGAAACTTTTGAAACAAGAGTATATTATAACTTATGCTTTGCTCCTCACCTGATTTTCTGTGTGACTTGATATATTACCTCCTGTCTATGAACTTTCCTTCCACTAAGAATTCCTAGAAGTAAGAAATTGCACTCCTGAGAGGCAGGCACAGATTCCCACATGAACTGGCAACCTTCACAGCCAATCCCTTCCTTATGGTTCCTGTCTAGAAAAAAGACTTCTGACTCTGATTTCCTGTTATCATAGCAACAACTACAGTAAACCAATCCTGGGAACAAACTACTAAAATGAATGTCTACTCTGGGGAAACCATCCATGGGCCAAGAAAAGGCAAGTTCATGACTTATATCCTTCCTTCTTGACTCCAGTTTTGTGGCCAATACTTATAAGTATATGCATTCTTCTGTGGTGTTAAACTTTACAAATCACTGTGTTGGATTGATTTGCTGAATTCATGCACCTATAGTATTTAAATGCCAGTGGAATACCCATTTCTGACAGAACTAAACAAAAAAGGGGATACAAAGGAAGGAGCATTTTGTATCTGTATATGCAGAATAGTTAGTATAGATACACAGCTACTTTTTCTTAATTCAATGAGAAGAAAGGTTTGTACTAACAGTGTTTGGACAGAATATCATGTCTGCATCTTGTACTATGGATAACCACTAAGGAGATAACAATGTACAATGTATTAATTATTGAAACTACCCTATTAATCAGTTTTGAAACTGTCTCATTGATATTTGTTTCTCAATAAAATAAAATAAAAACTTTACAAATCGCCCAGAGACAGACAGACAGACAGAGAGAGAGAGAGAGAGACAGAGACAGAGACAGAGAGAGAGACACAGAGAAAGAGATTGACTGATTTAGGGATAAGCAAAGACAATACAATGCAAGAGAACAGTATGGGTAGTCTCCCATTGCTATTTATTGCCTTAGCAATATATTTCCCAAACAAAATGTGGTAAGACACTAACCTACACCTGCTCTCTCATGCACATGTGTATGGGGTCAGGTAGAGATAATAACAGAACTTTAGTACCTGAGCTCTTAGTAGGGGCTTTTTCAATAACTTGCAACCAACATTTCATTCCTCCAAAGTCTCAAGGACTCCCAAATCAGAATCGCAGAACTTGAAATCTCACCTTGAACTGAGTCAGCTGAGTTTTACTGAGATAACTCCACTGATTTTAAAATAATGAACTGTTTTCACCTCCATTTATAGGCTGCTGCTTCCCTTAAACTATGGAGATTTGATCTGGTAAAATGTGAAGATAACTCTAGAAGTGGTACAAGTTCTCAGATGTTGGATCTGTGTCCTTCCTCCTCTATCAAATTTTCCATAACCTGATTCCATAATGGAGGAATATTTCTTTGATCTGCACTACCCTATATCTTTCATTCTCTCAGTTATAATCAGAAACTCAGAAACTACATATTCTTAAGATAGAATATCACAAAGTCTAGGAAAAACAAAAACAGTTTCACCAGAAAATAAAGGACACTGGAATCCCTGACTAACTTCCCCATATTCAAAATATTATAGCTAAAAGTGACTAGATATGTTTTGTTTTGTTTTGTTTTGTTTTGTTTTCAGAACCGGGGATTGAACTCGGGTCCTTGCGCTTGCCAGGGAAGCACTTATTCTACTGAGCCATCTCCCTGGCCCCATAGATATGTTTTAAATGTTGCATTGAACTTAAATATTGCATTGAACAAAGACCCAGTGATAGACAGGGATTTAACTAATGTCATTTTATTCATTTTTCTATGACAGCTTTTAAAACCATGCCGAGGGCTGGCCAAATACCTCAATGGGTTCAAGCACCTGCAAGCAGGCACAGGGGCCGGGGGTTCAATCTTAGGGCATGCCGTGCTGGCCCCGCCCTCAGGGCAGGCAGAGACTGTGATTTAGACTGGGGGTGGTGGCATGTGCCTGTAATCCCAGCTCTTGGGAAGCTGTAAACAGGCGGATCACTATGAGTCTGACCTAGTAGCAAGACCTTGAGCACCCTGTAGACCTTTCCCTAAAATACAGGGAAAAAAACTACATCAAACCCTACCACCTTAAAATAATATAGATGCACTATCTTACAATTATCTTCTGGATGTCAGATGTCTGACACAGTTATTACTGAGCTATAATCAAAATGCCAGTAGGGCTGCGTGGCTTTGGGAGGCTTTGCAGAAGAATCTATTTCCATAACCTTTCTACTTTCTAGAAGCTTCTCACGTTCCTTGGCTCATAGCTCCTTCATTTCCAAAACTGACAATATAACATCCTCAAATATCCCTCTGGAAAAAAAAAAGAAAGAAAAAAAAATCCCTCTGACTGTGACGTCCTCTTTTGTCTCCTTGCTCCACTTTCAAAGTTTTTTTTTTTTGCATACATTGACCCCACCTATATAATTTAGGATACTTTCTGCATCTCAACACTAGTTAATTATCTACCTTATTTTCCTCTTTAACCTTAATTCCTCTCTAAAGTGTGAAAAGTGCTGAAAGGTTTTAGGAATTTTTGTTGTGAGCATCTCTGAAAGAACATTATTCTGTTTACTACTGTCATACAAATAAAGAACAGATCCAGAGCTAGAAGCCCAGTGCAGGAGGGTCCTTCAGCTTCTGTGCATGATGGAGATATGTACTTCAGAAAACTCAGTAGAGCTGCATTTTGAGAAAGAAAGAAGCTGGGAATTTGGGCAAAGAGAATTGTGAGGAAAAGGATTTGGTTACCAAATCTCAATAAGGTAGAACTTTGGAAAAGCTGAGAAGTGAAGGTACTCGCTTTTTCTTTGTAAAGATTAGGTGAAAACCTAATGTTTTGGCCCCAGGTAAAATGTGGAGCTCTGGCTCAAATGTACAAGTTAATCAGCTGTCAAATTGCAGGTCTGGAAAAACTTGTTTAAACATGTTATCTCTGGCTATTCTCAAGACTTCCTCATGGATCTGGAGTTTACTTTGTTTCTGACTAGCTAATAAGGTTAGGAGAAGATGGAAATATCAAAAAGAAAGAAGTTGTGGCTAGTCTGAGATGATTCTTAGAATTTCTCTTTTTTATTTTTAAAGAGAATAAATAATAATAATAATAATAATAATAATAGAAACAATAGAGAATTTCACTAAACAAAATAATTCAGCAATGTTTGTTGCATTGCATAGTGTTGTCTTCAAATTAGTTGTTTAGATTACCAGATATATGCATGCAAAATTGGAAAAAGAGTTACAAGAAGTTAAGGAAAGAAAAATAATTTAAGCATTAACTGCTCTTTTCAAAAGACCAGCAGAAATCAGCAGTGCAATTATCCAAGCCCTCCTGCACACATACATAAACATATCTCTTTGATTCCTCCCTCTTCTTAGAGTTTCTATTTCTCACATTATTTTCAACCACATAATACTTTGTCTTTTTTGCCTCCTAGGAAGGAACTTGCCTATGTATGCCATCATTCTCATCACCTCTTTGTGCTGTATAGTTGTCATCACCATGGTTTATGTCATATTCTGCCGGAAGACAACACAACAAGGTGTGTAATAAGTATGATTTGTTGGCTTTTCCTCATTCATTATGTCTGGTAATACATTTGATTTTTTTTTTTTTTTTTGTGGAACTGGGTATTGAACTCAGGGCCTTGCACTTGCCAGGGAAGCGCTTATTCCACTGAGCCATCTTCCTGGCACTGGCAATACATTTGAGCCTATGTTCTATGGAGTGGCAAGTTAGTCTTGGAGTGAGGGTAGAGGTGGAGTGAGACAAATATCTATGCCAATATGATGTCAGACTTGCATAAATAGATGCAGAATTCTTTGGTACTTAGCAAAGTAATCCATCCTTTTATATTTTTTATTTTTAAAGAAAGCACAGGATAGTATTAAAACAGAAAACTTAGAAGTGATACAGAATTTTACATAACAAAATAATATGAATTTCACAGTATTTGTTGTCATGCATAGTATTGTCTTCCAACTCCTTATAAAGAGTCACCTAATGATGCGACAGCAATTTCCCTTAGGTTGCTTATAGCTTATTTTGGGGGATTCCAAGTTGAGCCACGGAACTTATCAATAATAAAGCATAATGGCAAAGATTATGGACTCAACACCTGGAGAAGATAATCAATATTAAAGGGGTCTTTGGGAGAAGAAAGTCAATTAGAACTGATACAACTAGGAAGGGCTTTCAGAAATTGGAACTTAGACAAGGAAGATGAAAACAATGTGTAAGGGGATAGTATTCCAAGAATGGGGAACTACATGAGTAAAAGGGTAAAGGGCTAAAATGATAACTGAATTTGAGATTAAGAATAAAGAAAATGCATGGAAATGAGAAATAGAGAAACAGAGAGAGGAAAGGAAGCTCCTTCTAATTGCACAGGGTTTGAATACCAAGCTCAAGAATTTAGCGTTTTTTTTTTCTTTACCAGGACTTACAAAGGGGCTAAACGTAACCCAATTTGTTTAGCAGGGTAAGTTACATGATCACTGCACCGGTGTCAGAGTCCTTTAACATGGGCCAAAAAAGGGAGGAAATAGAAAATTAGGATTTTTCTTTCTAAGAAAAACCTAGCCACAATTCAATGGCCACTGCAATAATATTTTTACCTACCATTAGCTTGTCTCTTTATCTATAGCATTCCCTACTCACAAATTCTTTGTTTTCATCTATGGGTCTATCTAGTCTAAGAAAAGGGAGCTTCAATGTCTTCCTCTCTTGAGTCTCATGTATAAATTCTGGCCTTGACCTATTAACATGGCTATGACCCATGAGTATAAAGTTGGAAGGGGCCATAAAACTCATGAGCACTAAAAAGTATTATAGTCTTGGTGTGGTTATAAATAGTAATCATAGTAGATTGTTTCTGTCTCAAAACTGTCTCTACAAAGCCCAGGAGATAAAAGTCAAAATGTAATATTCCATTCAAAACACTGTGGAATAGGGCTCTAGTCCTCTTTTTTTTTTCAGCACTAGAGATCCAACTTGGGACCTTGTGCTTGCCAGGGAGGTGTTTATGCCCTGGTCCTGTCTAGCCCTGTTCTTGACCCCCATCATTATCTTTTGCCTATTCTCATTTGTAGTCATTAAAGTCGAACAAGCAAATATGCCCTGCACATGGTACGATTATGCTTTTATTTTAACCTCAGTTTGTCTCTCCAGAAATCCTGTTTTCCATATACGTATAAGGGAGACAGCACAAATGGTACTATTTCACTTTATTCTACATGTTGAGCATATAACAATGAAAAAAAAAAAAAGACAGAATTCCTGTAGTATAGGAGCTCCCAGGGCAATTGAGTATGCAACACATGAAAATACAGGGTTCATCTATAAGGCAGGCCTATGGCTTGTCCTGTTTACAATGTTGTTGCTTAATGTATGTATGCATTTTCAGTTTTTTCCTTGAAAGATTATAGGTACCTAAAGAGCAGTGCCACTAGATACCCTTCTATCTGCCAAGTAAAGCCTTTCAACCTGTATGGACAATTACCCTCCACAGACACTAGAGGGCAATAGGGACCAGAACCTTTTTCTTTGGTATAGGGTAGGGGTGAGTGCACTTGGGAGCGGTTTGGGCCACACTTCCTGACATCGCACTAATTCAACCCTCTCTTGGACTCTGGTCTAGTAGTCAAGGTTCTCATTAGGACTCTGAGGATCTTTGGTGAGATTCTTGGATGGAGCAAGGGTCTAGTCACAGTGCTCTCCCCCATTCCACACTAAGCAACAACTAATAGCCTAAGACCCATTAAAATGCTCCTGTCTGTCCCCTTTTTTCAGTTTTTGATTGGTATCTAGTGGTCATGTTTGGCCTTTGTTCACTTTCTGTGGAAACTTCTGACCTCATTCTTCTTTATTTTCTAGAAGATGGCAATGAACTAATCAGGTAAGACAGCCTCTTCTTTTCTAGTTTATGATCCCTTCCCTACCAATTCTGTTGCCTATTGTCAGGAAACAGAGGAAAGGATGTGGCACAAAGCTAGACTGAAGGCCAGAGCCCCTCAGTATTACAGCATAGCTTTCCTTCTTCTCTGAGGCACCTTCCAAAGTTCTGTTCTGGTGCACTGAATATACAAAATCATTTAGGTCTAATAACCATTTGCTCTCTGAATTCTTGGGTGGCAAGACTCTGAGAGTTAGTTGTTAAGAACTGAGAAAGGTGAAGAGTGCTGATCTAATCCCTTATTCTTTTCTCATGGGATGTGGCCTATTGGTCAATAGGATACATATCAGAGAGGCTTGCAATCCTGGAAAAACCATAAGGGTAACCATCTTCCCATTTGGTTTTTCCAACAACAAATGATCTTCCCTAGACCTGTGCAATGACTAGTCTGATGAACACTTCCTGGGCCAGGAGTACCAGATCATCACCCAGATCAACAGTGACTATGCCTGCCTGCTGCAAACAGTACCCTTGGATAATGAGCTTCTGGCCACTGAGGACAAGAGTATCTATAAACATGTTCCACTGGTCAAGTTCTGCTAAAATAACCATTTATTTAGTTCCTGCCATTTGCATGACCTCCTTCCTTGCTAATTCTCTGTGTGACTAGCCCTGCAAATGTTGGGCCCCTGAGAGTGAATTTTCCATCATTCCCCTCAAGCAAACTAGCTGGTGAATTGGTCCTTGATCCTTCTAGTAGCTTCAACTGTGGCTTCCACTGCTCTTTTTCAAACAATAGAGAAATGTTTACAGCCCTAAAGCTTGGGCCTCAAACCTCTAGATACCACCAGAAGACCAGAGACTAAACTCTGCCAGTTCAAGAGACCAACTATGTACATGATCACTTCTCTTTCTCAAGGGCCAGACTACATGTATCTTTTTTTTTTAACAGAACTGGTGATTGAACTCAGGCCCTTGTGCTTGCCAGGCAAGCGCTTATTCTACTGAGCCATCTCCCTGGCCCATGACTATGTTTATCTGAGAGTGTCATGTTACAAGCAAGGGTTCTGTTCTGCTCTGTACTATGAATCCAGTGTTCTGACTTTCTTTCAGTACTCAATAAATATCTCATCATGACAGCAATCGCTTGTTTTGGTCTTCTCTCAGTGTATGGTAGGAAACACTAAACATTATTAAAGTGAGACTGATTAACATGGGAGTATGGGTCACATATTGGTTTCTGGTCTTTCTCCTTCTCACCAGTGCCATCCCTATCTCACTCTATAGGTATCCCCAGCTGGATTATAATGAATCTTTGGTTAAACACTGTGCTGCTGGTTTCCATTCTATCCTCCATGATTCTGCCAGCTGCACCAGGATAATGTTTTCCAGGTCAACTGGCCTAGAAAAAGAAGAATCCTTGCTACTGTCTCAAGGAATACAAAGATGAAAGTATTTCATTCCAAGCTATGCATATATCATCCCTAAGGATTTCCATTTCTTTAAATCACTGGAGTACGTTCATTCTTCATGGATCTTCTCTAGCTTCTGGCCCCTAATTACAACGTGAAGTCTTTTCTTTTCAAGCAGGGGATAACAGTCTGTGCATGAATGAGTGTGTGTGTGTGTGTGTGTGTGTGTGTGTGCGTGCGTGCGCGTGCACATGTGCACATGCTTAGTCAAGCTTTCCGAAAAGAACCTGTTCTAGGCCAAGTCCACACTGCTTCCTTTCCCCATGCAATTCATGTCAAATCAGTTTCCTTGCTTGTCATGGAAATTGTCATGTTGCCACTTCTGGTTCCAATGCAATCATAGGGTCATTTCATTTTTGTCTAAGATCTGTCACCATTACAGATGATCACAGGAGTTAAAAATAGTACATGGAAGTGAACAAGAAGGAGCCTTCTCTTCTACATCCTTCAACCTTCCAAGTCCATAGTCAAAACTTAAGCATTTTCCTCATCCCTAGATACTATCTTCAAATGGTTTGTGAAAGGAGTAGCTATATTTTTCTTCTTTGTTATGCTTGCAAACCTCTGAAAAAGGAACCACACGCAGTTGAAACCCCAGCTTCCTTCATGAAACAAATGTGTCCCTGCCAATAAGTGATTTCACAGTAAAGTGTAGCAAAAAGTTTCTGGATAGCTAAAAAAATGGATTTCTAACATGGTATTTGTCTTAGGGGAGAGCTGTTCAGGAAAAGAAGAGGTGAAAAAGGAGGAATGTCTTAAGAGAGGAATGCTATGAAGTTTCTCTAAGAAAGCTTTTCAACTTTTGGCCCATTGAATTATAGACCCAGAAGGTAGCCCATGGAGGAAAACATTCTTATGTTCAGATAGACATTAAAAATGCTTTATTTGAAAAATAAAACAATTATAATGGCTCTCCTAAAGTGTGATGAATTTTAAGACTTATGTTTGGTGATAGTTCATTATAAGCAGTGCTTCAATTTCCCCCTTTGAGTAATTTCTGAGAAATAAATAAGTTTTTCTTTATCAAAAGAAAAAATGCTTTATTTTATAGCACTATCCTGATGATTTGTAGTGAACATTAAAATATTTTTTAAAATTTTATTTAAGAAGCAAAAACAGTTTCATAACAAGATAATAGGAGAGTAACAATGCTTCATACATTGCATATTGTTAACTCTAAGTTAGTTGCTCAGAGTTTAAAATATAAGCATTTAATTATCCAAACAATACTAGCACAAAGCTTTCTTTTCAGTGAACTAAGAGAAATTAGTAGTATAAATACCATATATATTTTTTTCTTTTCCTTTTTTTATCTTTTCTCCATCCAAATTTCTATTTCTCTTTGAGCAGTTTCTTCCCATGTCAGCATATCTATTATACTTTTTGGATATTATTTTATATTTACACATGTGAGTCTGATTTATTTGCAACATTAAAATATTAAAGTCTCTAAAACTCTTGCAATAAAGTAACTGTATAACTTTGCAGAACCAATTCCAAAATTCACTTACACTCTGATTCTGTATTTTGCACTTCTCCTCCAGCTCCAGCCCTTCTCATAAAGAAAAACCATTCCATATTTGCTACAACTTCGCACACCCTATAGCATTTTGTGATCCAAAGCTTGATTTTTCTTTAGCGTATGCCTGTAGTGTATAATAGTTATGCTTGTTTGAGGAACATGGTACATGAATACATGTTTTAATCATTTTTGACCCCTTATTTCCCATTTCCCTTACCCTTCTGTTATAGTTTGATATTTTTTACAAAGTCCTGGGTGACATTTGGCTCAAAGCCCCAAAGTTAATCAATGAATGGAAAAATAAATCAAGAGAAAAAGCTAATGAAAAATAAACCATTCAGTAAGCATTTATTGAATATTTTGTTAAATCAAAATAATGGGCTACAATGCTATTATGGGCTACTGGGCTCTTTTAGAATATTTTGCTGAGTTTACACACCTATAATATTCAATAACGGAACTTAGAAAAAATGGGGTATACCGATGAATGTCCATTTTGTATTTGTGTATTCCAAGTGGTTAGGATAGATATATAGTTGCATTCTCTTAATGAATAGAATGATTTGTTCTAATGGTGTTTGTAAATAGGATCACAAGTCCACTTCTTGTACAGCAATTAACCACTAAGAAGAATATATGCAGTGTATTATTTGTTGAAACTGTACTTCCGATTGGATTTGAAACTGTCTCATTGCTATCTGTTTATCAATAAAACTTTGAAAAAAAAACAAAAAACAAAAAACAAAATAATGGGCTATACTAGGGGATGCAGCAGTCAAGGAAAGAGTTTTACCTTCTAGAAGCTCACATGTAATGAAGAATTCAAGAATACCCCACTGAAAAATATCAATAACATTCTAAAAGGTTATATTGTATGGTAAGAGATATAGTAGCACATACCAGGACCCAGGCAAGGAGGTTTTTTTTTTGTAAATGAAGAAAGAAAAAGCATAGCTTAACTTTTAAAAAAAATCCCCAGAGAGGCTGAACTTTGGTGGGACCAGGAAATATGGAGAAGAACTGGGCAGGCATGGAGAAACAGGGTTGTTCTGAGAAGGATAAAAGGAAGGAGGAAAAAGGAGATGAGTAAGGTCAAAGTTTGTTCAGAAGGTAAGAATTAGTGACAAGAAAGTAGATTTCTGTGTCCTTCTTTGTCACATAAGCCACAGTACTTTTGTCAGAATTATGGTGTTCTGACTGTTAGACTGGAAAAGAAATGTGAAGGAAGAAAACAATCAAAAAAGTTCTAGAACACCTGTGTCCCCATATTATTATTCTTTTTCAAGATCATTATGTGCTTCTCAGTGTTCTCAGTGTGTATAGACTCAGCCCAGGACTGAAGCTCAGAGGCCTGCCTCACTCCCCCCCCCAACACCCTCAGATGCAACGCCTTGATTCCCTCAAAATCTCAGAAATATAATTTGGAAAAAGTTTGGTTTTGCATGAACATTCTGATATCCAGCAATCAGTCTATTTCTTGTGTCCAACCTGCCCCAGTTTGGAGCTGCTAGGCATGTGCCGCACTTGGGGTATTTGACAAACTGACACTCTACCACATGGAGTGTCCAACTCAGCTTGTCAAATACACGGAGCGTGGCACTGCAGGACATCAGGTCAAGGGCTTCTGTAGGATGGTGAAATTTTCCTGGGAGATATCCTGGAAGGAAAGAAAAGGAGAAGCAGTGATGAAGTATACTCTGTGCCTTGGAGAACTTGCAGAGCTTAAAAGATCACCTAAAATGCAGAGAAGCAAGCAAAATAGGCATAAGGCCCCTAACCAGCAGAGACACCCTAAGTGCTCATTTGGGTTCCTATGGCCTGAGTAGCTGCAGCATTTCCAGGGATTTCAAGGTTCAGTGGGTTTCTCTGTGCAACAGAGAGGGGATAATTTGGTCATCATTCTTCCTGCATGATCTGTAGAAAAGACCAGACTCCACAGTCAGTGTCCTTGTTCCCTCTTCTTCCCAGTTCTCCCAAGCTATCTTCCCATAGTGTTGTGATTATGTACCATAGACTTTTAAGTTAAACATTGACTTGAATGCTATCTCTACCATTAACTAGTTGGACAACCCTAGATAAACTATTATACCTCTGTGACCTATAATTTTCCACAGCCTCACAAAATATGTATAAAGAGCTAGATGTGGTGCTGTAATCCATACTCTGAGAGGCTGAAGCAAGAGGATCACAAGTTTCAAACCAGCCTAGACAATTTAGCAACTTAGTGAGACTCTGGATTAGTATTAAAAAACGATAAGGATGTAGCTCAGTGCAGGGGCGCTGGATTCAATCACCACTACCACAAAAATGTGTATAGTATTGACCGCTTAAATTTTTGTGAGAATGACGTGAGATAATGCATATAAAGGCCTTAGTTTAGTATTCCATATACCACAAATGTTTTAAAATGATGGCTATGCTAGCAGAAGTAAAATAGGAGCTACTAGAATTTGATTATACGGAATTGGGACTGAAATAACAGAAATTTATTGCGTGCTCATCTCTGTCTAATATGATCTCCTTATCCCATAAGGGTCTGAGAATGGAAGTAATAATCTTACTCATTCAAGACTTTAAATGAATAACTAAAGGTTCATTTTGGGAAGAAAAGCTAGTTAAAGACACACTTTGCAAAATTGTTTTCAGTTAGAAATTATATCTTATATCACCCCCATTTTGCCTTCCAGCTTTCCTTGCTTTGGTCCTTTTTTGCCTCCCTGCTTTGTACATAACTCTGGGAAAAGGCAGAAATGCAGCACTAAAGAGAAAAGAGGAGGTAATGGAGTTTGCAGATAGCACTGGTGTCCTTGAACTCATAACCATCAGATAATAAAGATGCTTCCAGGACCAAAGTCAGGCCTAAAACTTCTTCCAGAGTTGATAATATCTAGATCGTAGCACTTAAAATTCCAGGTTGTTAAGTTTCAATCTTATACCACTCTTAACTCTGGCAGTTTATTTGTGAGAAATATCTGATCTATATTAAATCGTGGCATGAAAAATAGAAATACTGGACCATAGATATAGCTCAGCAACACAAGCACCTGCCTTGCAAGAACAAGATCCTAGCTTGAGTCAGAAAAAGTTTAAAAAGAAAAACAATTCATGGGAAAGTTTTATAATCTAAGAAATCTTTAAAAAAAATAGAAATATTCTAAGTTTACTGGGAATGTAAAACTTTCCAATGATGTGCTTTATGTTTGTTGGTTTGGTTTGTTTTTTGGTACCAGGAATCAAACTCAGGACCTTGTGCTTGTCAGTCAAGCACTTGTATTGATGAGTCATATTCCATATTCCCAGTTCTCCCATGAGATTTTTCAGCAAAAAACAATCTGTGTGTTTTTCTCAACTCTTTTAGTTAACTATATAAGGATGACATGCCCTCCAATTTTCATATCAGGGAGTGACTTCAAAATTAAGGATCTCAACTGTCCTTTTCACCTCCTCACTTCTCTGTCTATACAGTCTACCTTAAGCCAATGTGAAGTGTGATTCTCAGCTAAAGCAGCATCCATAGTCATTATATCAACTATAATAGAAAGAATCCAACAAATTTGTGTCTTAATGAGGTATTAACCAACAACTAGCCAATGACGGCTAGGGCAAGATTTTCTTTGAACTTCACTTGTCTTCTCTAGAATTGGGGACAAGATGACTTACCTGGAAGGGTTGTTGGAAATTTCTGAGCTTTCCAGACACTCTTACATAGGAGTTTGAGGAGACTTTGCTTCAGCCTCTGAAGCTGTGAATGGAAGCTAACCAAGGAAGCTCATTAATGAGTTTGAGTTGTGATGGCAGGAGAAAGAAACAGACTGATAGGTTCCCTCTGTGATCATTGCTTTTTAAAAAAAATTTGATGGAACTGGGGATTGAACTCAGGCCCCTGCGCTTGCCAGGGAAGTGCTTATTCCCCTGAGCCATCTCCCTGGCCCTCAATCATTGCTTTCAGAGCCCACTGGCTTCAGGAAGAAGACCTAGATAACCTGGTGCTATATATGACCTTTTGGTTGTCCTTCCTGGTGTCATTCACCTGAAGAAGATGGGATGCTTTGTATACCGTGTTGCCCCAGTGTTAAATGAGGGATTCAGAGCCTGAGCTGAAAGTACATTGCTTTTATTTCCACTTTTGCTGTTTAGTCTATACCTATCTAATGGACTATATGTAGCAAAAGAAGATTCGGTCGGGAAAGGTTAGCATGATGCATAGGAAAAAGAAGTGAAAACTAGACTCTTAAAGATTTTTCTGTTGGTCCATTAAAGTATCTGAAATGTCACCATTTGTCTTATCTGTAATATAATCCTCCTTTAGAGAGCTCCACAAAGTCACTATTTTTGAGGCAAAGGATAGGCCTCAAAGTTTTGTAGCAAAGAATTGGAGAGAATCAGCTTGGAGATAAAGGTGTAAACAAACATCTGGGGAATTTCTTTACGCACAATAAACCAATGATAGGAAAAGCGAATTGAGAAAAAATAATCATCAGAACCATGGTTAAAAATAGAGATTGGCTACAGATTAAGGAGAATAAACTAGGACAATTTTAAGGAAATTCCTGTCTCTTAGTGTTTTGGTTCTCCTAGGATAGAACAGAAAGAGCATTGGGCTGGGACTCCCAAGTCAGTTCGGCCACAGTTTCATTGAATGATATGTAGAAAAGTTGCTTCTTCTCTCTGGACTTCAATGTCTCCCATTTGAAAATGTTTTCTAAAGGTCCATTCAATTGTGCAATGTTAGCAGTCAAGTGTAAGACTAGAAAAAGAAGAGTTTTTCAGCTTTGAATCATACATCTCAGAGAAAAATACACATATTACCACCAACATTCCTCCCGAGTGTTAAGCCCTGCCTAGAGGTATATATTCAATGATCACTCTCCTAGCCTTTTTCAATGGAGAGATGATAACTATCAAAATGAAAAATATAAAATCTAAGTCTTGGGGCCGGCAAGATGTCTCATCAGTCTAAAGCACCTGCTTAGGCAAACTTAGGCAGGCTCAGAAGACCCAGGTTCGATCCCAGCCCCACATTCCTCACCAGCCCTGCCCTCAGGGCAGGCTGAACTGGCAAAAAAAAAAAACACCTAAGTGTTTAGACAGCTTCAGCTCATCCAGCTCTTCCTCTCTTTGGAAAAGAAAAAACTCAACACTGAATCTTTCTCTTCTTATTCTTTGCAAAAAAGAAACAAACACTGTCCTACACTGCAGAAAAGACTGTTGGTTCTAAAGACCAGGAAAATTACAAAATAAGGGCTGCTACTCAAAGTTCCTGACTCCTGAGTCTAAAGAAAATTTTATTGTCTTCTGAGTAAACATCCTCCTTTATTAAAAACTACTATCCCACTTTCTCTCAACTACTAGAAACCTCAAGGTGGAAAAACAGCAGGAAACTTCATCTGCCTCATCCTTGAACCTGAATCCTTGATGAGGATCTGAGAAGAATGGGATGAGCAGATCCAAGTCACCTTGGTTACTATAGATAATGCCCCAGCTTGAGAATCTAAGAACAGAGCAAATGAATGTCATACCTGCTAGTGGAGTGGTGCCTTGTTCTTGGAGGGTCATGGGCTCCCTGGTGCCGAGCCAAATTGTAGAGGCCAGAGAGAACTGAGCTTTATGTGTGAGCAGAAAGGTCATGTGTCTTGTAGGGTCCTTGGTGTCCTGAAGAGGAAACAGAAATGAGGAAGATAAGGCTGAGGTTAGCCAACGGAAATCTGGGTACAAAATGACAAAATAGGGCTGTTGTGAAAGGGCTTGCTACTGCAGCAATAGTCCCCACTACCCTACCCCACCCACTCTCACCCAACCTCCAACAGACACTGGCTACCCATGCTGCAGAGAGGGAAAGCAGACAGCATGGGCTCTGTTCAAGTTTCCCCTGAGTTACATGGGATCCAGGAATATCAGAGCTGTGCCAGTATCTAATCAAAATTCTTGTTACCATAACTGACAAACTGAGCCAATGACAGATTAAATGAAATAACCAACATCTCAAAGCAAGGTAGTGGCAAAGCTACAAATTGATCCCATTTCTATCAACTCTAAATCATGTGTTTTCTCATTCTACCAGAATAACGTATGGACCTAGGTACCCCTTTTTACCTCTAACTTCTCTCCTGGTACATAGAACTGCCTATAAAATTTGTAGACCCTAGTACTAAATTAAAGTAATAAGTCCCTTACAAAAAAATAAGAGTTTCAAGATAGTGACAGCAGATTATTAAACCAAGTATAGTATGTCCTTCTAAGGATGGAGCTTTGTGAAACTTCATAATTGACATGCTTATAAAACTGTCTGTACTAGCACAACTACAACCATAGGCCACCATCTCCCATCCAAGGGACTTACAGAAGAATAGAAAGAAGGAAATTCACATATTAGATTGCTTTGCTGTGTTCTTTCTGTACATTGCTTCATTTACTCAGTAGCCCTCTGATGTGATATTATAAGTATTCTTATTTACAGGTGAGGAAACCGATGCACATGGAAATAGTCATTTGTCTAAACAAACAAATCTAGAAAAGAGTGGAGAGCACAGAATTCAAGTTCAGTTGAGATTCCAAATATGAAGTGTATTCTTCCTTTCCATATTGGCTATAGTGAAGGGAGAGGAAAACAGTTGGCCTTCAGAAATGAAAGATACAGTACAGGCCCCTAAGTTCAACTCTGACCTTCAGGGTGAATAACAGACATGAACATAGAAGAAAATAAGTGGTTTCCTACAGCCTCAAGTTTTCCATCTCTAAGAAGTCCCGAGTGCCTTCCATCATGAGTTCTAATGACACAGAGAAGGAGAAGGGCAACTCATGAGATGCTTTCAAGACATCCTTGGGCTAGCCTTTAATGATTGTGGTGCTGCCATGGCCTACACAAGTTGAAGGAGGGCCCTGAACATAATTCAAGTCTGGTAAATAATCTGTGCATACCAAAAACAGTGTTTATATATTTAGGCTCAAGTAAAAAAAGCACATCATTGGGCCAGGAGCTCTGGGTCCTAGTCCCAACTCTGCTTCAGTCCATGAACTTTGCTTATCCACTTAGCCATCAGAAGTTAGACTAGATGGTCTTGGTTTCTTCTCCAACTATAACATTCCCAGGTTCCTTTATGACACCCTCTGTTCTTGCTTCTCTGTACTCACTCTGTGCCTTATGGTTGCACAGCCTAAGGCTCTGGGGATAGCCTGAGAAAGGAATTCACATGCACTCATGCTTCTCTGAAGAAAACTTCCTTTTACCGAACAATTTATTAGCTTAGGCCTTGAAACTAGTTCCCCCAGTTCTGGATTCTAGAAAGACTTAGTTCCTATTCAGTTTTGGTTTCTGCCTAAAGCTTGAGGCAGAAGAAGAATGATCCTGTGGGCAATTTGATAGGAAAGGACCACCGTCAACTTACACTATAAAAATGTAAGTTCAGCTGCCCACTCTCTTTTTCTGCTCTATCAGTTCAGGCATTCCACTGGCTTTTTGACAAGCAATATCTGAAGACAATGCTTTCACTTAAAGGAGGAACTGCTGTTGTCCATTTTGAACCCCATAACAGACAGGCCCCAGAAAGAACATTACAATTCGGAGGGTCTACAAGTTCTGCCACCCAGGCAGAGTGTCAGAAATAGAACAAAGGGCACTGAGTTTCTTGGAGTTCCTCTTTACTCCCCAAACACAAATCATGATGGAAAGGGTACAGTTTGCAATAAAAGCAAAAGGAGACCTCTTTTTATCATTTGGCTGTGCAAACTGTTACTGAAAACAACAAAAATTTCAAAAACCTCCCACTTTGGATGTTTTGCCATGACTTCTTGGTTTGTTTTAAAGGCAATAAAAATATCTTTAAAATTAGAAATGATGCAGAATTTCACTAAAAGAAATAGCAGGAATTCAACAATGTTTGGTATATTGCATAATGTTATCTTCAAATGAGTTGTTTAGATTACAAGATATAAACATGTAAAGTTAGTCTTAAAAAGTTATGAAAAATTAAAAAGGAGAAGAAAAAACTTTAAGCATTAACTTCTCCTTTCAACAGACCAGCAGAAAATAAATATATCTTTTTCCCTTCCTTCTTTCTTTCTTTGGTCCTTTTCCTCATCCCAGATCTTTCCTGCCTTTGAACAGATACTTTTTTATTTACAGTGTCTATAGTACCTTTCAGATTTTCTTCACTTTTTCAGGTTCTTACACTAGAGAGATAATATGTTTTCACATGAGATTTATTTCACTTACCAATAGAGTCTCTAGTTGTATCAATTTACCTATAAAAGCATCAAGCTTATCCTTTTTATAGCTGAGTAATACTCCATTGTGTCAAATATCACATCATTCTTAACCATGCCTCAGTTGATGAGCATTTGGGTTGCTTCCAAGATTTAACTATGATAAATTGCACTGCTATAAACATGTGTGAACAAATATCATTCTGGTATGGTGTTTTCAGCTTATTTGAAAAATGCCATGACTATTCTTATGGAGGGAAATGAGGGGAGGGAAGGGAAGAGAGCTGAGAGAGGGAATAGTCAGGCAATGCTGGGGACTGACAACTGACACATTCATTTACTCATTTAGTGGAGGAGTACTAAGAACATAAAGAGTCCCTGTGTATTAGACCCTAGACTGTAACCCCTGGGGTTATAGGTCCAGATCTGTAATTCTTTAAGCTTAAATGGTCATGCACAACCTGTCTGAGACTCAGTGGTCATATCAGATGAAGGAATTTATCAGGCTAGGTGGGAAGGGTAATAGACATCCACATAGAGAACTATGTCACCCTATAGAATATGACAAATGTTTTCACAAATGTTTAAAGTGCCATCAGAAGAGTACATAGAAGTATACAGTTCTTTCAGAGTGAA